CGCTCCTTGTGCAAGCAGGTGGTCACGTTGGTTATGTTGGCAGAAATTAGCCTATTTTCAGGCGCTGGTCATTTTTGAGCGAGATGTTAACGGTCTAATCAGATTCAATGATCTATGCTAAGCTACAGTTAAAAGTGCTACCGCCAGACCCGGAGATCGGTTGAATGGATTCGAAAACGGTAAAACTCAACTGTTTAACTCTAGGGGAGTTGGAAAATGAGCCTATTTTCAAAAATAGTGGAGTGTTCCTTTAACACTGTTGCCGCAGGTTGAAGCATGATATTTAGCCCCTGGAATGCAAATTTTACCAGGGGAACCTCGCCAAAAAACTTGTATTTTACCCCCAGAACATGATTTTTACCAGGGGACCCCCTCGAAACGCGATTGGGCTTGTGAAAATCTGGCAACCCTGTATACAACAGTATATCAGTCTCCAAGGGTGATTGTAGTCCATCAGCAAAGGTGCTGTGTGATGCATTTTCCTAATTTGACCCACCTGCTGTGCAGGACTGAACGGCGTTGAGCCTGTGATGCTGTTTGCACCCTGGAAAATTCCAGAAGGAATGCTGCCACCTGGAAAAGAAACACAACGCTAGTTTAAGAGCGTACATCGAGCTGACTGCTGTAAAGACACTCCAAAGTGCACGATCCAACACAAACACGACGCAGGAAACACGACAGGCAGCGGCCGAGGAACGGCTGGTGAAATATAGACACGTTTAAAGCACTCAGAGAAAGTCTGCTTGATTTATGACTACAAAAAAAGTTCAGGTGAGAAAGGGCAGCGTGGAGCACAGTGCAAATCCGTCTCCGTTATCGGACTTTCAGAGTTTGAATGTCTTTCTCCAGGCCTGTCTAGTTCCCTTTTTTCTGTCTCGTTCCCTTCATATTCCCACTCGTTGGCTTTCTGAAACCTGCTCTAGATAAATGAGTGTGTCAAAACAGCACCAAATCTCCAAGGAAGCAAGCAGAAAGTCTTCAAAGGGGGAGAGAGGGAAGTGGGCGAACGCCGGGGCCGTGTTTCTGATTTTCTCCACAGCGGTGAAACGCGAGGACCTTTGGCACCCGGAGAAGGGTTATTTATTTCATGCTACAGCAGGTCTCCTGTTGGAATTTGCCTATAAATCAAACGAGACCGGCGAGATGCAGCGCGAGACGTAGTAAGCGCGTTTTCCCAGACCCATTAGAAATCCATCCATTTCACAAGCAGACAATTTTACAGTAAATGATGTCTCGGGACGCTTATGAATTACTGTAAATCCCTCTAATACATTATAGATGATATTATCAGCCATAGCACTAATAACTCATTGATTATGCTAATTAGACAGACAGGAAGTAGATGTCTTGTGCTTTATGACTTTGAATGTTTGAACTGTTCACACTACTTTACAAAAGTTTGGGATCAGTGAGACTGTTAATGTTTTTGAAAGAAGTCTCTTCTGCTCACCAAAGCTGCTTTTGTTTGATTAAAAATACACTAAAAACAGTAATATTGTGAAATATTTTTATAATTTAAAATAAATTATTTTTATTGTAATGTATTTTAAAACGTAATTTATTTCTGTGATCAAAGTTGAATTTTCAGCATCATTACTCCAGTCTTCAGTGTCACATGATCTTCAGAAATCATTCTAATATGATGATTTGCTGCTCAAGAAACATTTCTGATTCTTATCAATGTTGAAAACAGTTTTGTGTTAGGAATAGAGTGATACTCAAATCAATATTCACTGAAAATCATTAACACATTTGGCATGTCAATAGTTTTTTGAAATTAATGAAACCAAACATTTTTGCATGTGCCAATTTTTGCAGAGAGGAAGATTTTTAGTGAACAATTAATTAATTCAGCCTGATCCTCACACAAGTATTATTTTAGTATTATTTATATACTATCATAGTTTATTAATGTTTTTAATTTTTATATTTAATTTTTAGTTTAATTTTTAATCATTTTGTATGCCCTTTTGTTATTTTATTACGATTATTATTTTTGTAATATTATGATTCAGTTTCAATTTGGTTTTAATTTTATTTCTTTTTAGTCATTTTAGTGCTTAAACTTATTTCAATTTCGAAGACAACATTTTTAAATTTTCTTTAGTTTAAGTTTTTCATCTAATATTTGTATTTTATTTTATTAAAAAAATGTTTTTAATCGTTTTCATTAACGATAATAACCGTACCTCACACAAAGCAAATCATATTACTTTAAAAGAATTTATTTAAAGATTTTGCTTTTTCGTCCTTAATGTGCTTGTTTTGTCCCCTGACAGCCCATGGCCACTATTTGCTTTCACTTCATGGAAAAACCCCCTTCAATTTTCTTCAAAGCATCTCCTTTTGTGTTCCACGGAAGAAACATCATCAGGCTTTGGAATGACATGCGGGTGAGTAAATGATGATGACTAGTAATTCTGTCCCTTTAAACCTGAAAACGTGCCTGGTGCCACTTCACCTCTGACCTTGACCGAGAGCGGTCAATTTCACACTGCTGTGCCAAAATCAGGACTGCGGGCAGAAGAGGGGCGACTGACTGCGATCCGACGCTCAGATCCCGTCTGAGACTCACTCCCACACTAACACGCTCCTCCAGTGGCCGGCGTGTTGCGGAGAAAGGTCCTGACCTCCTGAGAGAGCAGAGAGAGACGCCTGACGCCAGGAGCCAGACCGCGGATAATGGGGAACAGGTGTGTGTGTGTGTGTGTGCGTTGGGGGGGATCGACTGTAGATGGCACCTGAAAAGCTGTGTGTGTGTTTGTGGGGATTTTGCTAACTATCAACCCAACATAGATGTTCAAAACCATGTGTATTTTTTTGTATTGCGAGTTAAAATATTATCAACTAGAATTTTCATAAATATATTACACAATCTTTGGGATATGCGATTCTGATTGGTCAAATATGTTTGTATAATGATGCTAAACTGTATAATTGACTGTTAGGTAAGCAATTTCCAACATGGCTGCACTAGATTCATGCCATAGTTCTGAGCTCCATGTCTCAAGTTTTTTTCTGTAGCAGTGACAGGCTGACTGTATGTTATTTATTTTTTATTTTTGTAAAGAAATTAATACTTTTATGCATCAAGGATGAATTAAATTGCTCAAAAGTGACAGTAAAGACATTCTGTTCTTTTGAACTTTCTATTCATTAAAGAATCCTGAAAATAAAAATGTACCACGGTTTCCGCAAAATTATGAAGCAGCACAACTCTTTTTAACATTTATAATAATCGGAAATGTTTCTTGAGCAGCAAATCAGCATATTAGAATGATTTCTGAAGGATCATGTGGCACTGAAGACTGGAGTAATGATGCTGAAAATTCAGCTGCAGATCACAGAAATAAATTACATTTTATAATATACTCACATAGCAAACAGTTATTTTAAATTGTAATAATATTTCTGATTATTACTGTTTTTACTGTTTATTTGATCAAATAAATGCAGCCTTGGTGACAGAAGACACTTCTTTCAAAAACATTAAAAAAAAAAAAATCGTACAGATCCCCGAACTAGGAACAGTAGTGTGCACATTTTTGTTGTATATATATATATATATATTTATATAATTTATTTATATTAGTCATTCAAAAACTAAAATTCCTTTTCAAATTACATTTTAAAGTTAGCCTATTACATATAGAGAATTTTAATTGTTTGTAATTGAACAGTCATGTAAATTACGATGGACACTTTTTGGCCACTCGATAGCCCAGGGAGGGCTTAAGGTCTTAAAGAAACGATTCAAACATGATTTGTATTAAAGCCAACAATCTCTCGCGCTGGAACATCAAAATACTGAGAACTTGCACAGAAAATGCGTGTGTGAGGGAGTTGTCTTTTTATGTGTGTGTGTGTGTGTGTGTTGGGGGGATCGACTGTAGACGGCACCTGAAAAAACAGTGTGTGTATTTGTGGGGATTTGTTAAAAATAAATGTGTTTTTGTTTATAAGTGTAGTTGTATTTGTAAAAATTCCAGTTGATAATACTTATTACCTGACTTTTGGAATACTTAATTCCTGATTGGTCAAAATATGGTATAATGACGCTAAACTGTTAGGCAAGTAATTTCCTACATGAATGTACTAGTATCATACCATAGTCCTGATCAGTGTTGGGGGTAACGCATTACAAGTAACGCGAGTTACATAATCAGATTACTTTTTTCAAGTAACTAGTAAAGTAACGCATTACTTTTTAATTTACAAGAGAATATCTGAGTTACTTTTTTAAATAAGTAATGCAAGTTACTTTTTTTTTTCCAATTTATTGATTCACAGCTCTCCTGTCCCCATGTTGAGAGAAATCAGAAGATGTTGCTGTAGTTCTAAAATAAATATGAATATGCATTAATTCATCTCACTCACAAAAAAATTCAGTATTCCTCAAAATGAATAAAAATAATGCAACTCAGAATATGACGCAAACCTGCAATAATTAAATGTTAAAAAACACAAATATCCTTTATGTATTTAATCCCATTTAAAAGTAACTTTCCCCAACACTGGTCCTGATCTCCATGTCTGGGTTTTTTCTGTGATACTGACCGGCTGACTGTATCATTTTTTCATTAAAATTAATGCTTTTATGCAGCAAGGATGCATTAAATTGTTTGAAAGTGACATTAAAAACAGTAACATTAAATGTTACAAACGTTTTCTATTAAAAAAAAAAATGCTGTTCTTTTTTTAACTTTCTATTTTATATCCCGAAAATAAAAACGTATCACTGTTTCCACAAAAAAATATGAAGCAGCACAACTGTTTTTGACATTGATAATAATAATGTTTCTTGAGCAGCAAATCAGCATATTAGAATGATTTCTGAAGGATCATGTGACACTGAAGACTGGAGTAATGATGCTGAAAATTCAGCTTTGATCACAGCAATCAATTACACTTTAACATATATTGAAATAGAAAACTCTATATTAAATTGTAATGATATTTCACAATATTATGATTTTTACTGTATTTTTGATCAAATAAATGCAGCCTTGGTGACCAGAAGAAAACACATAAACAAATAAGTGCGAATAAGGGTCAGTTGCACACCACTTTTCCTTATTTTCTCTGCATGCAAAGTCCGATACTGCAATTCCGTTGCAGAATTAAACGGAAGAATTAAACTGCTGGTTTGACACAATCTGCATTGTAAAAAGCACTATATAAATAATGGTGACTTGACTTCATTGCTTGGTTTATTGCCGATTCCAAGCTCTAAAATACCATGTAGATAAAATAGTTTACAATACCACTTGAAATGATAGCGTGGCTCTTTGCGAGGCGGTTGTGGCACTGACCGTGTGTGGAGTAACTGTAGAGCGTCTGAGCGGGTGGAGTGCCGCTGAAGTTGGACGTGTATCCCAGCAGACTGCTCTGTCCTGGTGAATGACTCAGGCCATCTTCTGTTTTAATATCTGATCGGGTGAGAGAAAGATACACGATCAGCCGCCAGGTCAGCTGTGGTGTGCACTATTTAGGGCGGTTGTGAAATGTCACTCACTGTAGGACGTCATGCTGTAGCCCTGTGTGTGATGTGTGTACGGTGTGTATGGACCGGCCGGCTGTAACGCGGGGCTGTACTGCGTCTGTCCGTAAGCAGCCATGACTGAGGACAGCTGCTCTAGATGTAGTCAGAGAACCAGATATTAACTATAGACAACCTCTTCCTATTGCAATAACACACGAACAACACAACCTGATTCATAAACAAATGACTCTTTTGAATCGGTTCTTCTGTTTCTGTTCTTTTTGGTTCTTTCTTATGTTTATAATTAAATTATATATATGTATATATGTGTTGTTCATTTTAATTGGTTTTTTAATGTCTATATACTTTAGATTTTATTCATTTTTAATTTCATGATTCGATCAATTCTTCAAAAGTACTGAAAGAATCAAAATCATTAAATGGAATACAATTCAGAAGCAAATGACTCTTACGGGCTGGTTCTTTTTAATGAATCTGACAAGCCAATCAGTCTCAAATTCATGAGTTATGAATTGAATTCAAAAGTAAAAGATTCCTTAATGGAATCGTTTGGGATTCTGAATCATTAAGTGGAATCCAATTCAAGAACGAACGATTCTCATGAGCTGATTCTGTTTTATGAATGAGACAAACAAGTCATTCTCAAACTCCTTCGTTATTTTGTCCTCATAAGTACTAAAATTACCATAATTGGAATCATTAAAGGACCATTAAGTGGATTTCGTAAATCATGATTCTCATCCCTATAATTGTATGGTTTAAAACAAGGATTTTATGTATGTCTACACTGATGAATTAATTCTCCACAAATCAACTGTAAAACCATTCTTATGCAATTTGTCACCTTGAATTGAATGTTTTGTGAAGAATTTGCACAGAAAGTTTGCCAAACAGTTTAAACAGAAACATTAACTTTTTTCCCCCGAAGACGAGTTTAATCTTGCGCTTTTTGCTCCTTAAGTGCATGCATCTTGTTTTAAGGATGATATTTTTATTGGAAAACAACAAGATTTTTGCAGTGTTTAAGTGGAGCCCAGTGTGAGTATAGAACTAGCTGTAATATCACTCACAAGGCCTAAAATCGTCGCCCGATGTGTAGATCTAGTGGCTCCTGTGAATAAAAGGAACAGGTTAAACGTTTTCCATCTGAATGAATGCACTAGAGGAAGTTCATTCAATCCAAACTGCTAAGTTGTTGCAGACCTGTGGCTGTCTGTCGTCGTACTTCCGCTTGCACGCGCTCAGCTGTCAGCTCTCCTGAAATAGACAGACCTGTTTGTCAGAAATATGTGACCTAAAAAGCACACGGGCTTTGGTCCGACAGCATGCATCTCCAAAGTAAAATATGAAGAAGGAACCAGAACATAAAAATGCACAAAGCACAATTCATGTCTAATCGTGTCTTACACAGGGAAAAAAAAAAAGGTGAACGGACAGTATTTCTGAATGACGAGGCACCTGCGGTTTCCAAAAACACATATAATTAGAATTCTGAGATACAGACAACAGTGAAATGCTTGTTTTTATAAACCGGCTCGGTAGGACTGTGTTCCTGGAACAGAACAATGTGTAACCTGCTTTTTCAACCTTGCATAATTTGGCATCGCTAACCGCAGGCAGAACTGTGTGCCAGCAGTTCAGGACGGGCGAAAAACGCTTGCTGTTCTTGTGCATGTAGATGTAAGAAATGCAAGCGTCCCTGTTCTGTTCTGGGCTGGTAATGGCAAGGTGCGGTGCATACTGTACATGTGGGTATAGTTTGCATGAATACAACTGAGAGACGATACGGGTGAAACACCGCAGATGACCTTGACATGTTTTTTTTTTTTTTAATTGCTCTTTCTCGTTTAAGTTCTGCTTCAACTTTGTCTCAGACTTCAGGAGAAAATAAGAGCTCAGCTAAAATGAATGCGATTAATTGTCATTTGATGAGAAATTTTTGAGTTTGCTTTGAGATCTCTGATTTTTGACTGCGATATGACCCGTCTCATCCGTGCTTGTCTTCTAATAACGCCTGTATTTGTTTTCTCATTGCTGTCTGAGAACTATGACAATATTTGCTTTTATATCAAATTCAATTTGGAGAAAACTACAGCACAGTGTTATTTTAGTATCACTAATATAATAATTGATTATGAAAATTTTGGTTTTAGTTTATATAACTTGTATTAGTTGAGGTTTTAGTAATTTTGTTGTATGTTTTTGTCATGTTTTATTTTGTCATTTTTATTTAATTTCTTTTTAAATCAGGGTTATTATAGTTAAATAAAACTAAAACTAAAATTAAAATCATAAAACACTTTGAAATAAAATAAATGTTAACTGGAATAAAATATATATATATATATATATATATATATATATATA